TATAAGTTCGATTTGATTAAAACAGAACAAGTCACCAAGAATTAAAAGAGAGCCATAATTAACTCATGTGCCCAAATTCTACAAAAAAATAATAATAAATTCTCGTGCGAAATATATGTCTGGCTTGAGTTTTAACCGCATTTTTGTAATGTATGACCGTCTATAATATACTAGAGGAAAAAGCGCACCCCATGAGTGTGCAAATTAAGAGAAAATCTAGTTGTCTTATTAAAACCCATAAAAATTATAAGAATCTTATTTTTTTGTTGCAAAAGATAAAAAGTAATTGTGAAAAATAAAATTTATTGGAAGTGGAAGTTATTAGAAATTACTAAATTTAAGCAGTTATGTTTAGTAAATCTTTATTTTTGAGAGGATAAAATTTTTTAAAAAAAAAAATCAAGAGATGATAGAAAATTTAATACCAAACTCTCTCCGCATACTTTAGTAAATATTTGGATAGACTCAATGGTAATTCTCATGTTTCTTGACAAAAAGAGAAAATCAAAAAATAAATAAAAAAAAGGTATAATGTCTTCTTTTTTTTCTGAGAATGGAAAAGGTATAACGTCTGCATGAAACTTCTGCAAGGCCAGCGGTCCAAGTAAATTCGCGGAAGGGCATGAAATTCTAGAATGGACCGGGCCCGAGGAGGGAAGTTGAAACTCTCATGTTTCTTATTGCGTCGTCATAGGAATTGCTAATGTCCTAAGGACCTGGGCCTGAATGGCTTGGGCCGGTGTCAGAATAGCGACGGCTGCATCTACTAATTTCGCCATCTAATAACGCTCTCAATTTTAATGCACAATTGGCCTGTCCCACTATTGTATATCCTTCAAATTCCGCTTTCTGGCTTTTCGTGACAAATTGCGTGACTTGGGATTCAATCGCAGATTCGGTTTGACATGGTAGTATTAGTTGTGTCATTTGTCATTAACGTACCAATTAACATCAAGGGGTCCAGTTTCACAAGAAAATTATTGCCCACCTAACCCTAAGCTTCTCATAACAAAGACGAATCGCACCAGATGGGCGTGAATCCTATGGTCAGGAGAAAAAAAAAAAAAATCTGTTATTTTCTTTGTATACTCGATATCGATTACAATTGCTGGCTCTAAACATGGAAAAAAGTCAAAACACATATGTAAGCTAAGGGGACAATTAACCTGATAGTTTTTGTAACTTAAACGAGGACAATTAATCTTATAATGTCCACATTAACTACACATAACAAATTACTACTACAAATCACAAACTTGGAAGTTTCCTTTTCTTTTCCTAATTGGAGGCAAAAAAAAAAGAAAGAAAAGATTACGCTCTAGGATAGGGTATTAGTTGAAATATTATTTGGAATAATTACTGTAGCACTTTTTGTGATATGATGTATGTGAGATAAAAAAAAATGGTTGGGAATATAAAAAAGTGAATTGGAAAATGTGTGTATGATGCAAACGAAATATTATTTGGGATAATTTCACTATCCAAACAAACCTTATGTTTCTGCCTCTGGATTTCAAGCAATGGTCAGTCTAATGGTTGCTGTATCCAATAGGCACTCGTTAAAATGTAATTTAACTATTAAATTTTTTGAAAGATAAGATTAATTAGAAAAAAGTATATAAATATAATGAAGTGTAATAATTATTAATATGTATGTGTATATATATATTTATACATATGATAGGTTATGCGAATTTTAAATGTGTTAATGGGAGTGCTCTTGCTAAATAAGCACCGCTAGAAAAACCTAATAAATGCTAATAATTAAATTTATTGAGAGCATCGCTTGGAGTTCAATATTAAATTGCCAAGTTATTATCGCACCGTAGTTTGAACTGCATTGATTAATGATTATGCTGTGGCCATTTCTTGCTTTATACTTTAGCTTAGTCTGCCAACGTCGACCCCAACGGCCTTCTCCTCCTCCTCCTCCTTTGATTACACGAGGATCGTTAAGTTTTTAAACCTACTTTCACGTGTAATTATATGTTATCAATTGGAGCGTTGATATTTGCCCTCACATTTCCGAGGTTGTAAATTTTGTAATTTACCAAAAAGTCCTTTAACCTTCATATATAGGAGGAACAATTGGGCACCATGAAAATATATGGTCCCAGAGCCATCCGTACCTTAAAGTTCTTTTGTTTAATTAAGGTGCACGACGAGTATTTTTGTACTGACCAATAAGCACGCACGTGCTAAAACTGCATGATGCACTTGTGTGTCTATTACCTATTGGTTTTTACAGAGTAATAAAAATAGAATGGCAAAATAAGGAAACCAGTGAGATAAATGCATAATTTTGAAGCGTCAAGGGGTTGGTTTGAACTTTGAATAGAATTAGTCATCTGAAATTATAGTGATGCTCTCAAGTCAAGGTAAATGCAGGGGGTTCTTAACAAAAATAATTAAAAGATATAAATTTGATATGCGTATAATTAAAAAACAAAATTAAGTCCATGTTCAGAATACAAAATGAATTACGCATCAGAAAAAAAAAAAAGGACCGTGACAATGTTGTTGTTACATATTAAGGTGATCCACGATTAATTAGGAGAGAGTTTTTAGACGCAACGGATCTTCTGTCCCACATCCTGTGTCACTCTCTGTCCCACTTTTTATTATATTGATATTTCTCCTCTATAAACATCACGTTTTAGTTTCTTTTTTTTTTCTTAAGATCCAATAACTATTAATTGAGTAATATACAAAATTTAACAAACTCAAAAAACCAAAATGCATAAAAAATGAGATTTTTTATGAATTTTCTGCTGTATTTTTTAATTTTCTATTATATATTATTTTTTTGAACCTCCTGTATTTATTTTTTACTCAATTAATAGTTATTGGATCTTAAGAAAACAAAAAAGAACTAAAACGTGATGTTTATACAGGAGAAATATCAATATAATAAAAAGTGGGACAAAGAGTGACATAGGGTGTGGGACAGAAGATCTGTTGCGGTTTTTAGAGTTCTTTCTGTTATAAGGTTCAGATACGAATCCTATATCTGAGGATGGATAATGTATGGGAAGGATGCGAGGATGAAAAAAAAAGGTGATCCATAATCCAAATTTAGGAACGAAAATAATACTTAGGTATATTTTTTTTTTGGTTCTACATTATATCCTCAGTACACAGACTTTTGTTGAACTGGCGCGTACACATAATTTGTTTGGTTTGATTTGGAGTCTAAGGAGAGAAAATATATGTGCTCTTCCGTAATGTTAAAAAAAGGAAATTGATGATTTTGGACTCATTGATATTATCAACTTATTGTTTACTATTAGGGAAAAGGTTTACCATTTACCAACCTCTGAGCAGGTTTTCTCTCACTTTCTTTATATATTTGGAACTTTCTAGTAATTTCATCTTCTTGTATATATATATATATATATTTATTTTCTTGAGTCAATCTTATATACACTGACAGTGTATGCAGTATCACCGTTTAATTTATGTCACGTGTGCAAAATTTGAATTTCATATTCAAATTTTACATAGTTATCATTCATCCAACGCTGACAGTTCATACACCACCAGTGCATGAAAGATTAATCATATTTTTTCTTTCCAGATTAAAGTGTAACTCTCTTGCTCATATTTCCAACAAAATAGAAAACCACTTTTTCACCCTAATCAGCATGTTTTGTGGGCCCACCCCCACCCCCCTCTTTCACCAATTCGGTCATTTTCATTAACCATTCGCTAATTTAGAAAGATCAATTTCGCATCTGAATCCAAAACACTTTATTGCCTTTGTTAGCCATTGGAACGTTAAGCTTTTTCAAAATAAATGAATATCAGAAAATGAAGAAGGGATTTAATGGCAGTTTAAGGCTAAAAAACTTGCGATTGTTGGTCTAGACGTGGCTGGCAATAAACTGACACCATAATGCATGTTCGTTTGGAAAACTGAAGATAGAATTGATCAATATCATCGCGATATTGTCTATCATAAGATGCACATAAAATTCCACAGCTATAAGAAAAAAACATTTTTTTTTATAAGAATTTGATTACTCTGTAATCTGTAGTATTAACTATTGAGTTTGTATACTTGAGCTTGACGCAAGCATCTTTTTCCTTTACAAATTCAGCCAATGGCAATTAAATTGCTTGCAAAACTGGAAACTTTAATTTCCGTATACAATAAAGGCGACATATCTTCCTTGCTTTATGAAACTTTGTAAGAAAATATACCTACCTACAAAAACCAAGACCGCCCATACAAAGTAACCGCACACGAAACAAAGCGTCAAATAAATTAAGTATCAAGGTTGCACATTGGTCAAACAAATAGTGGAGTTTAGTACTATAACTATAACGAGTGCGAGTTAATCTTTTAAGGCAATTAAAATGTTATGCTATACTAGACGGCCTAATTGTGACTTTTTGGATGGATGAATCTTTTTTTTTTTTTTACAATGATAACATTTGTATAATTTATTCTAGCCTAATCTAAGAGGAAGAGAAGCTGACGGATTTTTTCCATCAAAAGTAACTACAATTAAGTAACAAGACAGAAGGCAAGGTTCCACCTTCATTAAGATTTAAATGTCCCGGTGGTACCAACAGCCCTCTTGGGTGGATGAATCAATCGCTCGTCAAATTGATTGCAAAACTGACTTGGTCCACGTTGCCCTTCTAATTACTCAAATGAAGAAAAAAAATGTTTAAAATATCTTACACTGCTGAGTAGGAGGAGTCTTTGCCGTCTGAGGCCCTTAAAAGAAAAAGGAGGAAAATAGTAAAAAGCTTTGCTTGGATTGCATCTTTATAGATGTGAAGTAAAAGAGTGATTGAAAAATATATAAAAAAAAAAATAACAATTTTCAAAGAAAAATGGCAATTCAAATAGAGCCCATTCTGCAAATATGTAGAGATAAAAGGGGGAGCATTTCAAAGCCTTTCCTTACCCTTGTAATTTTTCCAAACTTGAGGGGCGTTTATGTACTCCTTCCTCTATAAATACCACAATTCGCTCATTTCTCTTGCCCCTTTTTTGAGTGCTCTGCTTACTCCTCTTCCCCCAACTCTTTCTCCCCAAAAGCCAATACCTTTTCTCTAGCTCCCTAAATTCTTCTCCCCTGGCCCCCTTCCCTGCCCTCCTCTCCCTCTTCTGTGGCCGGAGTAGCGAATTAGCGGCCACGAAAGGTCTTAAACCACCGGATTTATCCCGGGTTTTCTGCTAATTTCGCTTAATTCAACTGATCTGTACCTCTGTATTTTTCGTGTTCACACACACACACACACGCACGCACATATTTTGGTTACTGGTCTCCTCCTTTACCTGTTCATGAAATTTTCGTCTTCATCCAATTCATTATCTAACCTTTTTTTTTCATTACCCAGGAATTTCTTATCTGATCCCCACCTTAATATTTGTATCACCGTTTCCGCTTTTCCCAAACCATCCCCGAGTTTTGGCTTTTTCTATAGTTTTCAAAGAAGAAGAAGAAAAGGTCCGTGGGGGCATTTTCGGCAAAGAGAAAAAATTCCAATAAAATTTGGATGATGCATGTGGGTTGACGTGGCATGCGCATATCGAGCCATGAGTGCAACCACGATGAACCACTCACGTCGTCAGATTTTGACGCCCGGGCCGTCAAACAATAAACGGAAAGAGCGAGACGGTCTTGACGGTTTCAAGCCGTCAGCAATAACGACAAAGAGCTTAGCCAAGCCCAGCATTCACCGAGCCCCCACGCCGCTTAGTAATAAATCTACGTCGGCATCCGCGGTGCCTCCCAAGCAGCAGCAGCCGGCTTGCAACAACCAGCTCTTGGCCGGCTATTTAGCCCACGAGTTCCTCACCAAGGGGACTTTATTTGGGGAGCCGTGGGACCCGGCTCGAGCCGAGGCCGTCCCCGTGTCTTCTTCAGCTCCCACCAGAGGTAGCGGTGGACCTGGTAAAGCTTACAATACTGGTAGTAGTAGTGGTACTAATAACAAGGAGAAGAGGAAAGCCGAGCCTGCGCCGGGGCCGAGCGAGAAAGACGAGAAGCGAGTGGAGAAGCAACAGAGGTACCTGGAAGTAGCGGATTTGCTCAAGGGGGATGGGGCCCACGCCCATCTACCGGGCATCGTCAATCCTACACAGCTCGCCCGTTTCTTACAGCTAGGCTAATTGCCGCTCGTTGGCGTGGTATCTGGACTCTGGAGGAGGGCAACTCTCGAAGGGACACGTGGGGGAATCTGATTGGATGCCCTACTTCTCCAATTAAAAGTTCATGATATTAGCGATAAACATTTTGGGAAACGAGTTACTCGAGGCAGGGTGGCCCTCCTCGCCAAGTCCCTCCCTCCCTCGGCCTGTAAGGGCCAATGCTGTAAAATAATTCCATGATAATTGGGGGAGGCCTGAGGAGGAGGAGGAGGAGGAGAAGAGAAAGAGAGTGACGATTAGTGAACAGGCTCTCTCGTCTTCTCGCTCTTTCCCTTCGTCTTTTTGGTTCTCTTCTTCTGGGGGCATTTGAAATGCTTTTAATTTTGAATCGATGTCTTGTACTCTCGGATAGTAGCAGCAGAATCAATTGTATTGGAGGTTGGTAGTTGCTTTCTCTGTACGAGCAGTAAGTACTCTATTCTTGTTGTGCTTGTGCATTTATACAATCAATTGTCCCCGCTTGTACGTATGTGTTTTGGCAGGCATGCATGCATACATACATACATACCCACATGCAAGTATGTATACCGTCAATCCGCGAGACCTCCTTCACGGTGTTGTGATTCAATTGTTTGATATCGGTTTGATCGCAATATTGCGTTCCATCGCGCTGAACGAGGCTTTTTGGGCGCTTGGGTTGGCAGCGCGTACGATCGGTTTTCTTATATTAATTGATGATGGTTAATTAACATGATCTGTATTTTGTATCTCGATCCGGGAGGCCTTTTTTTTTTTTTCTCCAATCTAGTTGATGTAGTTTATAGCTGATATGGCTGTTTGATGTAACGTTGCCGATGATCACGTTCTTCTTCAATTCCTGGGTACGGTGTCATTTATGTACTTTGAGAAATGAAAATGAAAGGGAACGGCGGCCGGGTCCGGTCATTTGCTTGTCTGTGCCTTGGAGCACAAATATTTGGATGGGGAAAATGGAGTTTCTGCAACTCCATGGCGATGGAGTTGGAATTTTAGTCTTATCTTTTGACGGAGTTTGGTGTCAAATGCAGCGTGACTACACTCAAGAAGAAGGGACTTGCTTGCTTGCTTCCCACCACTTTTTCACGTTTATGCATCTCCCTTGGAATGATATATATGCTCAATGCTCGTGCAAATTTACTTTTTTCATTAAAAAAACAAAAAAGAAAAAGGAAAGAGAGGAGAAGCTGAAAGGGTACTGAGTACTCTTGCTGACATGAATCAGATCTCCTTCGATCTCGGGCTGGTGGTCAATAGCTTCTTCCCCCAGTAGATATGCCAAAGAAAGGAAACAAAAGAAGGGGGGCTGGCTCCGGTGGTGAATTAAAATTTTTCAAGTGCTTCCCCTTGGGCGTAAATCTAAATACTACTATATGCTTCGACTTACACTTTCGTTGACCTGTATTTTTGATGTAGAGATGCTAGGCTAGCGAGCATATATTATTATTATTATTTCATGTAGGAAACAGTCAAAACTCATGTCTCGTACGACGATGACGGAAATTCACCACCGTAATTTTAGGTTTCGGTAATCTTGAAGACTGGACAAATATTTTGTTGCTAGCTTTTGGTCACAAGGAGCTGAAAGAAACCATGAAAGGATATTTTTATACATGCGAATCCAAGATGTTTTGTGCAAAGGAAGCAGCCAAGTGGGCTCATAAGTATTTTTAAGGATCAACAAAGTTGGCTCTACTCTACTGATGAGAACGTTGGAGACCCAATCGACCAACAGGTGCACGAGGTTTGTCTTGACCATCGATTAAGTATTAGCATCATCTTTGCTTTTAGGAAAACGGCCTCTGTTGGAATGCGGAAATACAAGAATGCCCCTCATGCAAGCTCTAAAGATGATCAGGGCATCAGTTATGAGTTATTATCAGTGAATTTTTTTTTTTTACCGATACGATAGTTTCCTGCACTAAAAGAAGAAGAGGAAGAGCAGATCTTGAGATAATCCGAAGGAAACTGAATCATCGCCAGGGGAGGGTCTGGGTTTTTTAAGTAAGATCACACTTAATTGTGACAAATTAGTGCAATCCCACCAAACTTTAATGCATTGGTGGCGGTAACCAGCTCAAAAGCCTAGTGGTTAGTTTTTATCAGTGATTGATAGCTGTTAATGTATCACACGTGCAATTATACAACTACGCTTCCTGCCTGCCGGTGCGATTTTTCCTTCTTTTGCCCTTTCATTTTCATAATGCGGTTTGCTTCCCGCACCGTTAATGGACCAAAATGATTGCGGTCCTGCTTCCCATGGTCCTGTAAGTATGTACCAAAAATGCAGATTTGCACATCCAACTTTTTCCCAAGAATCCTGGTTTGCACTAATTGGTCAGCCCGCCAAGTAAACCAACCGAGATTTCCAAACAATCCATCATATTATCATCCCCTCCAAAAAGAGTTGACGAAGCCCAGAAGCAGGCTCAATCCAAACCAAAAGGGAGACTGAAGAATTAACGCGAACCCCCACTAACACCTCTTCTTCAAAGCCTAATATCTTAAACGCCCCACCAAGCAATTGCAACCGGACGAAACCTCTACTGTTCATTTAAAGTCTCGCTGCCTTAATTTACCTAAAGATAAAATAAATTTTATGTACACTGACAGACAGTAGTGTATATACTATTATCGTTTGATTTATGATATGTGTGTAAAAGTTGAATTTTAAATTTAAAATTTGTATAGTTGTCATTCAACGTTGACAGTGTACAGTGTAAACTGTCAGAAAGATTAATCCCTAAAAATAAAAGATAAGATTGTTGTCATGGCGAAAACTTAGATAGATCCGATTTTTAAACATTCAATAGCCTAGATTGTGACAAGATATGGCCAAAACTTGGATACACCTTGTCTCCAACAACCCACAATTTAGTCCATTGGATCTTTGAAAATCGGGTTTATCCAAATGAGCCTTAGTCCGTATCATCTGCGTTCTTAAACTAGGCCGATGCAGGAGCAGATTTGGGCTTCCATCCCCGCTCTTTCGGCCCAAACAAAATCCATGTGCCTCTGAAACACCAAATGTGGCAACACCAAAGTAACGGGCCCAAGGTGAGAGGTAACGAATTTATATGTGTAAAAAAAAAAAGAAAAAGAAAAAAGGAGGAGGAATATACATATGTCATATGCGTGGGGAAAAAATGAAAAAAAAAAAGAAGAAAATTCAAAGGTCCCATTTTGAGTTATTAGCTTTGGTAGGGGTAATTAGTAGTAAGTACTAGTATTAAATTTCCTTTTTCCCGGCGTGGCCGCCACAGACGGTCAAGACACGGCTTCCGGCACTTGCATTCCCTATTTATTTTTAATTTTATCTTTGGAGGAGCGTTAGGGTTTCGCCTCGATATTTTCCTCTACCTTCTAATTTTACTGGATCATCGTTTATTAGAGTGAGGATCTGAAGCATGGTAAGAGGTTTGCTCGGCAAGCTTGCCAGTCGCTCTCTCTCCGTCGCCGGAAAATGGCAGCAGCAGCAGCTTCGCCGCCTCAACATCCATGAATATCAGGTCCCCCACTCATCTCCGCACAATTCCCTTTTTTTTTCCTTTTTTGTTTATTTGGTTAATAATAATGATAATTATTATTATTTGGGTTTTCCTGCTGAAACGTTACTTTCGTTCCGTTGAATATGATTACTGGTATTTTGCGGTATGATAACATTGAACTGTCATTTCTGTTTCCGATAGTTGATCCCTCGTGTGTATGTGTTGTGTGAAGATCGAGATTTTCTGAATGTGTGTGATGTCAGGGTGCTGAATTGATGGGCAAATATGGAATCAATGTACCAAAAGGTGTAGCCGTTGCTTCTGTTGAAGACATCAGCAAAACAATTAAGTCTGTCTTCCCCGACAAAGATGAGGTAATTAATAACATTTCGCAGAGTGATTTTTGATAATTGTAGGCTTCGATTGAGGTTCTAAAGCAGTATTCCGTTCAGAAAGCTTAGGAAATGCTGAAATTGTAACATTTGAATGTTTCGAGCCTGGAGGATCACTCCCTTTTATCTTTTCTAGTTTTGTGCTAATTTGCTTCTCATGCAGATTGTGGTCAAGTCTCAAGTTCTTGCTGGCGGACGTGGGCTTGGAACTTTTAAGAATGGTTTTAAGGGTGGAGTTCACATAGTCAAGTCTGACCAAGTTGAAGATACAGCTGGTATGGAATTCCCTTCTGGATTGTCAACATAATTGTGATTTGGTTGTTGCATTTTGATGTCTGATTTCTTTTTTGATATAAAAGCATATGTTACTGATAATTAAGTAATTGAAATGGCAATGGCCTTACCTTTATCAATTTATGCAAGATCTTGGAAAGTTAGTCACCAATTTGCTAGGTTTCTTTGGTAATACGTGCTGTTGATGTAGCACTTCAAAGTGCAAACCTGTTTGGATTGGTTAGCATGCCCTAGTGCATATGCCTAGGACATAAAAACTGCTTTAGAGGAGTAATGAAAAATCCAGTTGTAAGTCCATGTAAGCCAGATATGTAATTTTGGACTTTGAACTTGAGAAGAATTTGTAGCTCACTTTGTTGTAGGAACTAATGATTGAAAACAGACCTTCCTTGTTTTAGGTTGAGCTAAGCAATTGAATTTTATCTTTGGAAAACCTTGTGCATCACAAAATTTGTTGTTATTTAAGTTTTTCATGTTGGTTACTTTCAGGAAAGATGCTTGGACAGATACTTGTTACCAAACAAACTGGCCCTCAAGGAAAGATAGTTAGCAAGGTTTGGCATATTTTACCTCTTCTTATATTCTCTTTTTACATGCAAAAGTAATTTTTGAAATTTGGCATCATATGACTCCACATGATGTTACTTCTCTCTCTCTCTCTCTCTCTCTCTCTCTCTCTCTTTTTGGTTATAGTCTTTAGACTTTGATCTTTAGTCTTCGAGAATATCCATTCCCAAGAGACTTTAAAGTGATTTTACATTTTAGATTTTACGTTGTAGATCCAGCTTTTGATGCACCTTTGAGATTATGTTGCCGATTAGTTTCTGTATCATATTCAATGAAGTGATTCGTTTATTTCACTTTTAATCTTTGGCTAGTTTGTTTCACTGCACCTTACCTTTTACTTCAGGTTTACTTGTGTGAAAAGTTATCATTGGTGAACGAAATGTACTTCTCAATAATCCTTGATCGGGCATCTGCTGGTCCTGTAAGTTCTCAAGTCGTTGATGCTTAATTGTCTGATTTAGCTCAAACAAGAACTATCTTAAGAATTTTCAACATCTAATTATGTTGTGGTTAGTCATCATCCTATTCTGGAAGCTTGTATTTGGGGAAGATCATAATCGAACTCCTTAGCTAAAGCGATTGCCATTACACAGTAAAACACCAAGGATTGAAGTTCAAATTTGATCAATAAAGGAGGATTGCAAAGCTACTTAGTTGAATAAAATTGCTGCATATGTTGTGGATTTTGGGTGTATAGTGGGGAGTCAATAGCATTGTTGGGAGAAAGTTATGTACGTGTATTGGGGAACTTG